CACGATTGCAGAGTTTAGATATTATCCATTGGTTGTAGGATTACTTAGCTGGCTATTGCATGCTGATTCTGCTCTTTGGCATGCAAGTACAAGATGTCCCTACTCAAGTTGTGGCTGCATTCATGAAAATCGCAACTTAGAGTGAAATAATTAAATGAAGTACTTAATGTTAAAACTGGAGTTAAATTTAGTTAGGCTTTCCTCAACAGAACAAAAAATATCAAATGCTAATACTGTATCCTCTAAGTTGAATAACATAACTTTAAATGGCTAAATTCCCACATTTGTAAATTAAATAACTCAAATTAAAATAAATAAGGGAAAATGTAACATTCTCCTTACAGAAACTCCCGTCATGGATCCTCCTGGAATAGTGCCCAAGCATTGCACCACATGCCTTTGCTGAATGGGCTCCAGGCTGCCTTTTGGAGTCATTGCTTTTTCTGAGCTGTATCACGGCTGCTGCTGACTCTTGTATTTTTGGGAGCTGTGGTGCCCCTTCTCGCTGGCTGCTACTGCCTCTGGGTCCTCTTGGGTCACTGATGCATGGGGCTGTCCATCTTGGCTGGCTGTGGGGCCTTGGAATTCCTCCAGCTCCACTGACCAGCAGGCTGGGAGGTTCGTGGCTGGGTTCAGTGGTCTACCCTCCTCTTTCTTGCTGAGGTGATGGGCAGGGCTGTGAGGTTGTGGCTCGCAGCTAGCGAAGCAACATGTGCGCATGTGTCAATGTTCCACTAGCTGTGGTCATCTATAGGAGTCCAGTGATTCACAGCTGAATGGGGGCCAGGGCCACGGCCAGCGTGGAATGGTCCTGTTGCATCTGGGTGGGTGCTGAGAGCGGTAGCAGCTTCTGGAGTGGGAGGGAAGGTAGGAATTGTTTTATGAGGCAGCAGCATGACTGGGACAGTGACACTCAGTCAGTTTGGGGCCCAGTGGTTAGGGGCTTTGATGCAGCAAATGAGTTGATGCTTGATGAGTGGCCTCAGGTCAGAGTAAGAGCAGTCACACCAAAATGGTGCTAATCGGGTTCAATACTACATGAAAATAAATGAAAAAGATCTTATGAAACTCAACGATATTTCAGGTCCTGGTAACTGAACAATCTTGAAGCGAAAAAAAATGCTAAATGTGTGTTGTAGCTTTACCAGTTTGATACCACATTTTGAGGTATGTCTGTTGCCGCTCCTGCAAAAGCCCCCTTCATGCTCAGGAAAGAATAAGCAGAGAAACCTTTGAAAAATCAGTGCTCAGAGTTGCTATAGTAAGCAGTTCAAGCATTTTAATTTCATAGCAATAGGATCCCCTCACGATCCAAAGTAAATACTGCATTGATGTCTTTCTTACATACACCTCTTCAATTTCTTCGAATGTGGGCATAGTAACTCAGCTTTTCCATGAATTAATAAGGTGCTGTACTTTACAACAAATACAAGAACTGCACTTGATAACTGATGCACTTAAATCAATTAATACGGCTTAATTTTGTGGAAAAGAAAGAACACACCATGCTTCCAGCATCACCTTATGACTGTGACAAAATGACTAACTCTCCTCCAGCAGTACTATCACTTGGTAAAAGCCTTAGTTTTCCCATTTACAACTCTATCCTTAAACAGAGAAAGATAAAAGCATATACATTGATTCAATGTTTTCCAACATAATGGATGTGAATATCGGAACAGAAGCAGGCTATCCAATCCCTCCAGTTTGTCACACGAATTAATTAGACCTACACCTCAATTCCATTTATTCACCTTATTGATAGTCTTAACAATCAATCAATCAGTCAAGCTCCTAAAAAAACTTAAATAACCTTGCAGCTGAAAACTTCTGGAGGATAGAATTCCAGATTTCCATTGCCTTTCAACATGAAGGAATTGGTTCCTCTACTTTAATCCTAACCTGCCTAGCTGAAATTTTATTATATGCTCCCTTCAGGGTTCCACCAAAAGGCAAAATAGGATTTTTCATATTTAGATAGCAAGAACTGCTGATGCAGGAGTCTGAGATAATACATTGTGGAGTTGGAGGAACACAGCAGGCCAGGCAGCATCAGAGGAACAGGAAAGCTGACATTTCGGGTCGGGACCCTTCTTCAGAAAAAGTATCATTGTAAAATGTCAATTAGATCATCCTTCAATTTCAAACTTAAGGAAATATAAACCAGGTTTTTGCAACCCATCCTCATAATTTAGCATGTAATCATATAAATTCAGGAAAATTTAAAGCGCCCACTTCTAAAGCTACTGTATCTTTACTGAGGCCATCAATCAAACTGGATGGCTAACATTTAAGTAGCCTCTCTGCTCAGTGTTTTTATCTGTGTAGCTTTTATTTATTCACATATATGTCTCAGTCTGTTAATACAATGGTCTGATTTATCTTGCTCAGATACAAAAAAAGATACCCTCACACTTTCTCACATTGAAGTCCACCTACCACAGCTTTGTTCACTCACTTAGTCGGTCTATATCCTTTTTAGTTTATAGTCTTGTATTCAAGTTTAAGTCTTTAATGTCTTGCTCCAATCTATGTAACTCACTGTGCATTGTGGCTTAACATCATCAGTAAACTTGGATATAGCTCTCTTAATTTCTTCAGCCAAGTCACTAAAATACATAGTGAAAAGATGAAGCCCCAGTGCAAATAACTGGGGAACATCTTTTGTCATAGCCTATCAATGCAAGATTGTTCTCTTATGTCTACACTCTGTCTCTAAACTCCACTTAAGTTACTCTGACATAGCACACAGTCACCTCGAATTCTATGCTCACATCGTTGACAGTAATTTCATGTGGAATTCCAAGTCCGTACAGACAAGATCTATCGATATTCTCCTATCAACCATAGTAGTGACTTTCTCAAAGTTCAGCTAAACTGACAGACATAAAAAGACCTTGAAGAATTCATGTTAAGTCTTTTTTATCAACATACACTTGCCCAAGTGCTCGGCCAATCTTTCTACTGACGTAGCGCGGATCTATTCAAGGACTGCATATTTCTCTACACTTCATGGTCTTGCGTTTTCTCAACAGTGCTTGTAAGAGCTTCAATTTTCAATTCAATGATCAATACAACTTGGGAAAAGAATATGGGATGGTTTTCCACTGCCTTCTTCATCTGTGCTCACAAGCCTCTCTTCCTGAAGGATCTTCTGTATTTTAAAACTCTAACTTTTCAGTCATTGCCACTGAAAATTCACTGGTTCTAGCACTGAACAGTGGCCATGACTCATAATCTTGAATGTGGCAACGTTAGCTGATGCCACTTGTAAAAGTGCAGAGACAACGGCTTCTCCCAAGGTTTCAAATAACCATGTTGCCCTTTTCCATTGAAACATTGCAGTTACTACTGCATAACTGATGTTAAACTGGCAGGTCCATACTTGCCTGGATTCTTACCCTTTCTTAAAATAAAAGTGACATTTGTAACTTACCGATCTAGCTATAATTTCGATATACTTTTAACTAATGCATCTGTAATTTTCTAAATATTTGTCTATTTGAAGTCCTATTACTTTCTCCTTTTCCATCTAAAACATGAAATTCACAAAAACAATCCCTATGACTGATTTCTCTCGCACCATTGGTAGTTGATCCTCTTCCTAAACTACAAGAAAGTATAAAAATAACTAATTTAATAAACGATTTATTTTCTGTTATAGTTTCAGTCACAATAATACACCACAAATTGATGCAAAAATTTATAAAATCTTCTGATATTAGCTTTGGTATCCTCTGCAAGTTTTGTTTTCCTATCCCTCCTTAGTACCTCTTTTGTATTTTTCCCTTTGTTGCCTTTTACAATGAATTGTTTATTTACTTGAGAATAAAAATCTACTAGCTAGTGATCTTTAATTGAGAAAAATTTGCAAAAATACAAACTGTTCATAAAAGCATTTTGAAATATTTTATTTTAAAAACAACTTTGATACATAAATTGGCAAGACACAAGAATTTCATTATATTGAGCGTTAACTCCAATTCACTCGAGATGAGTAATTAAAATACATAGCTCACGAACTACTGATTCTAACTAAAATAAAAGTTAAAATTGGAAAAGCTTAGAAGTTTTCACTATCTGGTAAATAACAGCAAAATTACTCTTGCAATAATGGGCGTTCTCAAAACTATTCTGCAACACAAAAAGACTAGAAAATGGATACTGCATTCTAAATTAAACTTCTGTGTAGTTCCAATGAATTACTAAAACTGCATCAAAACAATCTGAAAAGGTATGTTAGTCCAAGTCAGAAATTTACAGCTTCAGGCATGATCAATAACCTGGTATTTCTTATGCAACGTCACTGAGGAAACATTACCACAAGGACTGTAGTTTTTCTCTGAACTACTAAGACCTTCTCTGGACAACAAAGGACAAGCAATAAACACATCACCCACAGCTCAAGGATAAATTTGGAAAAAAAGGTGTGAATGGTATGGGATTTTTCTTTCAGATTGATTTTAAAATATCATAATATTCACAGGCATTTACAATATGTAAATGATGTAATGCTGGTTATTTAGTTATCCTGGAACCTCAATTCCAAACCCACTGCAAAGAATAAAGCAACAGCTGGGCTAGCAGGCCTGGGTTCAAGTCCCAACTGCTCCAGACGTTTCTCACAAGACACCCGAGCAGATTCATTAAATTTATCTACAATTCATTCCTTTCCTCACCAAAGCAGTTAACTTCTAGTTAGCTTCAGGATGGGTTGTATTTTACATGAATTAAGCTTTAACATCCTAAAGGTACAGTCCTACTTTGGCAGCACAAAGAAACATTAAGCCTGACAGGTATTAGAACGTATTGTCTTAAACAAAACATATCAGAATGGGAATCGGACTGTCGTAGGGCCAACAGTTATCTACAATGTTAAAAATGTCTCCAAGGCCAGACTGAATTTGATAATAAATTTTTAAAGTAACTGAAAACGATGCTGGTTGATTTGTTGAAAATAGGGACCTCTGTGAGGAGTACAATGTAATGAGTAAACTTACCTGGATAAGTTTATAGAAGTAAGCGTACTGGCGAGCGGTGTTTTTATACTGACTGAAAACATCATGGATGGCTTGCGTTGACTGGAGGTAGTGCACTTCTTCCTCTTCAAAATACAAAGGGGTATGATACTCCATAGGTAGTGTCTTAATGTAGGGTAACCAGAAGGAATTGGGATTCAAACGTTCACAAAGCAGGTGAAACGCAAGGGTAATATTTCCCATGGCTTGTAGAATCCGGTCCTGGGTATAAACTGGACCTGGATTTCAAAGGTACAGATTTTAAGCTGGCATTAATGAGAATATAAGCAAAACAATGAGTTAACCACAATTATTATCAGCAAAGCTAAGAAGCTATTGCTTTTGTAAGGTACTCAGCTTTCAATGAGAATGACACAAACATGACAGCAATAAGGTTACTGAAAGTATCAGGATTACTTCAATGTGGGTACCAGTTTTGGAAGAAATTTCAAGGAGAAATTTCAAGGAGAAAATTCAATATGCTTAAAAATTGAAACCAATCAGAATACATCCTACAATATTCCAAGTTTTTTAAATGGACTATTTTATTATTGCCACCTCAGAATCAGAGTTTTTATAGCACAGAAAGAAGCCTTTAAGCCTATCCTGTCCACTCCAGTCATCAATTACCCATCTGTTCTAATCCCATTTTTCAGCATCTGTTGTCTAGTCTTGTATGCTATGGTGTTTCAAATGCTCATCTCAATAATTCTTACTTGTCTTCAGGGTTCTTACCTCTACCATTCTCAGGTATAATGGGGGAATCTAATAAGATTAATGCAACTAATGATTTTCAAATGCAAGAATGCTCATCAACAGAAGACTTCTACTGGTATTACTAAAAATGATATTCGATATATAGCCAGGAAGAAAATATAAATATTCTTCCTGCTCATTCTCATTAACAACCTTATATTTCCACATTACCTTATCACAGAGGTCTCAGCAGTTGAGGATACAGGTCTGGCTAAAGGTAATGTTAATTTTTATTTGTAAGCATTTTTCCTTCACTAGTTGCAGTGTGTAAATAACTGTTGCAGTAATACAACATGAAATAATTATAAAGCAGCTTACTAAGAAAGGAATAGAATTGTTTTGATGTGATCAGGCCATGGTTCAAAGCTTTTCAAAAGGAAAGATACTCTGGTAAAATATATTGTGCCTCCACCAGAACTGTTTTTCACATGAGCACCAATTTGACTCAAAGTTATAAAAATATAGTTCTAGCAAAAGGAATGAAAAGAATTTGAATTTTATTCAAATTTGAAGGAGGTTTGAATGTGCACTTGGCGCTTAAAGTAGATTGAGTATCACTGCTACTAAGTTTGTAATTCATCTTAAAATATTTATACAATCTCTGATGAGACCTGGAAATTTATTATGGTTCCAGGTGACACTACAATTCTTTTATGATCCGGTTGGAAATCAGTAAGTTTGTGTAAAACAGACAAAATGTGAAATCCCAGATATTTACTCAGAGAATAAAGCCATAAAAATCCACATTTTAAATGAACAGAAGAAATTTACTGTACAATTAACAAAGCATTATGTTTGTGTCCTAACATCTACAGTACAAGATAAATATGAAGTAACAGGCAACGTTTGGTCAAACACACTATAAGCTGGACATTAAATGGCAGACACAACAGAGTCAAATCCCACAAATTTTCTCAGAAACTCATCCAGACATTACTGAAAACCAAGTCACAAGAGTCCTTTAAACTGCCCTCCTTTCAACTCCTCTCCTTCAACGATGTACCTTCTGATTTTCTTCAATAGCTACTCCAACTTAGACAACTCCTGTTAGATTGCCCCAGTGACTGTTTGCTTCTCTGTTGTTCAATCTCTTCTCCATACACTCCCACTGGTCTCAAATGTCTGGACCCCAGCATTTAATAGCTGCGCCTAGCTAACGTGAGCAAATCAATCATCCCATAGCATCTGAGCCCTAACAGCACGAAACCAATGACAGAACTTAGCTCCACAGGGCTGGCAACCTTCTGCTGCCTCCTCAGCTGTGGACTAGTCTTATCATGTGGGCTTTTTTTGCCATCCCAGGTTGCCTGGTCAGGTTTTCATGCCACACACCGTGTCAGATAGGCATCTTTCTGCACCAAAACTCTGGACTCACGGTCAGATTTTTGCTAACTAAATGCTTTAATCTACCTTTTGTGCATGCTCAGTCTGTCCCCCTTGCTGCTGTCTATGCTCGCTTAGGAGCCCATGACATACTGGGAGTTGTCGTCCTCAGTCCAGAAAACAGAGAGCTCAAACCCAAATAACAGATTCCCTCACTGCATAGTTAGGGTTTTATGAGTTCTTAGTTTTGTTATTAGATAGACTATTGAATGAGGTAGTAAATGGGAAAACAGAGAGGGGGAAGGAACCATTATATTCCATCACAATTAAATGAAATGGAGGAGAATTAAACATTCAAATAAATGAAGGTTTTATGAAATGTAATAAATAGACTGGAGCCACTTCAAATTTCAATACGTAGATCTGTAACGCCACGTTCTTTGAATATTGCATTGTGTTCTCCCAACATGTCTCAGTCCTCACACACATTCAACAGAAAGTTTCCTTACAGTTGTCAATGATGTGACTGTCACTATGTCACAAAAATGGCCTAACCTCAGAACAGCACCTTCAAACTGCACTAGAATGAAGCTTCCTATTTCCAATACTAGCCATCCTGAGACGTCAAATAATCTGCTTCGAGATATCAAGAAATAAAATTTGCTTTGATTTTCTTGGGTGGGGAGGGGAAGGAAGAAGTGACAATTTCATTTTTAATAGTGAAAACTGGCAAATGGTACGCTATTTTCAAACTTAAAATAGAAAAGTACATAGTTAATCCACAATACTACACCTACAAGAAAATTATTAATTTAAAAATACAATTTATGAGAGTTTTAGTTAGATTGCATGGAAAGCATAATTACAAACTTATTGAGAAATATACACTCATCAATCCAGCTGCTTGAATTTAGCTAACGTTTGCATAAATTTCAAGATCTGATATATTAAATTCACTATGCACACTGAACTCATATTTAGCATCAGCAGTCTGTCATGTCTTCAAATAATGTCGATGAGATTGCCCCAGTTGAAAAAAGATATCTCACATTACAGTAGAATGTCTCCCACTAGATGGTGCTATGCAAGCTACAGATCTCTGTATATCCATACAAACATCACTAACATATTGAAACAAATTAACTTTGCCTCAACATTCTGTAGATAATTACAGGGAATCTAAAGCTTCAGTATAACTTGTCCCAGACTAAATGTTGGCGTATAATTTTCAAATTTTAATTCATTCAGGGGATATCGCTGACTAGGCCAGCATTTACTGCCCATTCCTAATTGCTTTGGAGGTGATGGTGAGCTGCCTTCTTAAATCACCGAGTCCATGGGGTGTACAGACACCCACAGTGCTGCAAAGAAGACAGGTCCAGGATTTGACCTAGTGACAGTGAAAGAACAGTATTGTAGTTTTAAATCCGCATGATATGGGTCTTGGAGGGAAACTCACAGATGACTGAAGTGTTCACATGCATTTGCTGCCTTTGTTCCTAGATATAGAGTCATAGTCATACAGCATGGAAATAGACCCTTTGGTCCAACTCATCTGTGCCGATCAGACATCTCAATCTGACCTAGTCCCATTTGTCAGCATTTGGCCCATATCCCTCTGGCACAACTCCACATTGGCCAGTATCCTGTCACCAAGTCACCCCTTATTTACATGTGGAGAGTCCGTGACTCTCCAGCTCCCTCAGAGCCAGCTCTCAAAGTGAACAGGATGTCTGACACTCCTGTTGATATCTGCCAGCCAGGGCTGCCTGCTTGGGCCAGGTTAACAGCCACAATCAGGGCATCCAGATTCTATGAGGTCCACCTGGCTGACCTCGTTACAATCACAACATCCCTCCCCAGGTCTAAGGACATAGGCCAATTGTTTTTTTTTGGTAGCTCCTCCAGCGGCATATTAGCACTGGGTCAGGTCCTTCCACCTCTGCCTCTGATACTGGTGGCATGTAACGCACAACAGCTCTCCTCTTGTGCTCGCAGAGTCTCAGAGGAAATTCATTCTTTTCTTCAGGTAGCAAAGACATCAAGGTAGTGACATTTGCGATGTCCATGTCAGATTCTGAGGGACCTTCAACACTTGATGGAGAAGAAGAACCCATGTGTTCGGGAACAGACAGAAAGGCTGTCAAGGAGCCGGGTCTGTTTTACCCCTCAAACATTTGTGAGTTTGCAGCTTTCATATCCTTTTTCAGGGCAGTCACACCGACCCAAACTTTATACATCACTGGACCTGATCTCGTCTTGACCATGCCTCTTACCCATTGTAGGGCCATTCTTGTGGTTCCTATACCAAACTTTGTCCCCTGAAGTAAACTGTATCTCTCACTTAGCAGAGACTTGTGTCTGGCATTGGCATTCCTGATACTGTTTCATCCTGTCCCCAGGTCCAGGAAGATCAGAATTAATCTGGTGCAGAGTCTTCTCCCCAGTAGAAACTCTGCAGCATCTATCCCTTCAGTTGCATGAGTCAGTGTGGTATCTAGTGAAGCTGCAGACTGTTTCTTTAAGCTTGCCTTCAAAATTTGGACGGCTTACCATCAGACCATTGGATGATGGATGGTATGAAAGAGATCTTATATGTCAACAACCATTTGACTCTAGGAAATAGTCAAATTCCCTGCTGGTAAACGATGGCCCTTCATCCGTGACCAACACTTCCCAAAGTCTGTGTATTGCAAAAGATGTGCACTGTTTTTCTATCATTGACCCCACATTTGATGAATGAACTCTATGCACGTCCAGTCACTTTAAGTGGGCATCCACAGTGATTAAAGAACATTGATCCATGAAAGGACCTGCATAGTCGACATGCAATCAAGTCGAGGGTTTACCTGGCCATTCCCACAAATGTGGGAAAGCAGTTGGCTGTAATTTTTGTCCTTGGTGGCACTGTGGGCACTGCTCCACCAATGCAACTATGTCTGCATCCAATCCTGACCAAGAGACATAACTGCTTGCCAACATTTTCATATTATAAACTCCAGCATGACCTTGGTGGAGTTCAGCCAGTAACCAGTGATGACCTTTGTTTGAGACATTTACTCTTGCTCTCCACAATAATATGCTGTCTTTTACTGTGATCTGGTCTCTCCGGGTCCACAAGGTTTCAATTCTGGTTGTCATGGCACTTTGGTTTCCCCCA